CCATGTGGGGAATCAAACCCGGGTCTTCAGCTTGACGAGCCAACTCTTTATAACTCTTTATAACCACTAGGTTACCCCACCACCCCATTCCCCACATGAAGTGGTCATTTCTGGTCCCCCTGCCGTGATATGTAATTGTTAAAAGGTATTCACCACCCCAAGATTTGTTCCTGGTGTAATTGTTCAGGGAGGAATTGACTCCAATAGTGCAGCTAACATTACAAAAGAGTTGGTGCGCAATGTCCCAGTAAGGACAATATTTTCTCTTCCCACAAACATTTTTTCAAAAAATTGAGTACAATCTTGCTAAGAATGAAGTCTTGCTGTTTATTATACCATTATTATTGTTTCTTTCTTTCAGACAAGATGTATTCTCTGCTTCTGCTTGATGCTATCGGCGACATCAACTCCACCGACCACAACGCCTCCATTCACTGGGGCGTGGTCAATATCCATGGCACTAACGTCACTTCCGGTGTAGAGGTTTACCCGTACTTAACACCACTGGCCCCAAGTGAGGATTCGGTGTATGTGTTCATCTTGTTCGAGCAGACGACATTTGTGAACGCGACTGCAGTGACTGGCTACACGGCAGACGACTGCTCATCACTCATGACTGACAGGTAATAAAACGATTTGCCTCGGAGTCAACCCGGGGTTGTGCAGGTCAGAGAAAACTAACCTGTATGCAAGGAATGATCAGATAATGCCTTTAATGAAATGGAGCGGTGGGGTAGCCTAGTGGTTAAAGCGTTCGCTCGTCACGCTGAAGATCCGGGTTCGATTCCCCACATATGTACAATGTGTGAAGCTCATTTCTGGTGTCCCCCACAGTTAGATTGCTGGCATATTGCTAAAAGTGGCTTAAACCAACACTCATTCACTCACACGATTCAAAATAGTCTTCAAGCAGTTCATCTATTTGCTTATCGGCCACTCTATGTTGTGCAACGATGGGTCACAAAACCTTCAAGGACAACACACTGACACCCTTTGTTTGTAATGCTATGTACTGGTACTGGATATGCGTGAAGACCGGAGTTATAATGGGAACACAAATACATTTTGTAATACCAAGCATTAGAACAAAGATAAGTGTTTACAAAGGCCAAACCTGTATATGTGTTAAACCTACAACCAAACACATACTACAGTTTGAAGATCGGGGTTATAATTTATCTTCAGCAACCCATGCTTGTCGCAAGAGGCAACACACGTGGAGTATTGCTAAAAGCGGCATAAAACCATACTCACTCACTCACTCACTCTTAAGAGTCACTGAACCATCTCATTTGTCTTTCTGTCGAGCGTTTCTGAAATGCAAATGTCATAAATAAAGCAAGTCTAGACTCCTACTGACTGGCTAATCTCAGTGGGCCTCCATTTCAGTTTCCATCCAAACTAAATATTTTCTGAGACTCACCGCTAGTCTGTCTTGTCGTCACAGGAGTTAAAACATGACGAGGGGCCTATTTTGCAAGATTTGTAAAGCGATAGCAACGCAACGCCTATCGGAAAAGCTTGTATTTCAAACTTGACACATCAGTGACAAAAATATGTCCCTATTTGGCTTGAACCATACAACCCTGATACGTTTCAGGTGTACAGTTGACTATCTGTTCCACTGGTGGGGCTGGATGAGCTCACCTTTTCGCGAACACCTGGTGTCATCAGTACTTTGTATGAATTATGGGTGTCAACTTCTTTATTACACGACGTGAGTGATGAAGGAGGAAGAAGATCCTCCGAAACGTCGTGGTCCTCCTCATGACATCTATGATTTTTTGTCTTTCAGGAACAGTGCGGTGTTGAAAGTAAACAAACTAACAAGCACATATCTTAATGATAGGGTTACAAGGCTCAGCTTTTCCTGTTTTTGGTTTCTCAGAAATTGTGTATATGTTGTTTAATGCTGTTTGGTTTCTCAGAAATTGTGTATATGTTGTTTAATGCCGCACAGCAATATTCCAGCAATATGACGACGGCTAGCTTGTATTCGACACGGTATCTGTAAGTCATACTGCATACATAGATGCAAATTGGCAACCGTTTTCTTGTTTTCCAGATGTCACTTCCGGACGCCAGACTTCATCCGAGACAATTCCCTGACTCCAGTAGGACTTAGACAACTGAGATACACGCCAGACCCGTACCGGAAGTACCTCCTGTACAGCGTTTACAACGCCACCAAAGAAGCAGCGGAGTGCGCAGGTCAGACCGGATATGGAGTCCCGTGCCCTCTGAACTCTGGCGTCCAGCTGAGGACGCCATTGTGCCTACTTCTCCTTGTTATTTCTCTAACTTATTTCGGTAGACACAGCTGAAACAAATCACCTTCTTTCCTTATCCATCGATACTATGAAATTCAGTTTAAATAAAATTACTGTTCAGTTCAAACGATTGCATTTAATAATTACTATTCAAACGTTAATTTGCCTGATTGAATACTGCCCTCTTTAAATGTCCAATACTTTTTTTATCATACTATACCTTAAGCAAAGAACTATTTTGATATTTTTCAGTTACTGTATAAACTTTTTTAGCGTTTGTGCTCCTTGAATGATGTTTATAAATTACAATGCTAAAATAAAAATCTTTGAATCGAGAAAGGTCGAATCACATATATTGTGGTCATGACACCTTATAAGCTGATCACAGTATGATATTCTTAATAGCCATAATTATCACGTAATTATTCTTTTCAAGTTGATTTTATTACACATATTCTCCACATCAAGAAATCGTGATTTGTTTGCATTATTGAATATTTGCCTTTGACATCAGTATTGTGTACTTGTATTATATCTCTTTTTTGAAAATATTCAAAATAAATTTTAGTAATACATTGTCGACATGTGCTTGAATTATGCAGTTACAGTTTTCTCGATCTATACACACACTTACGTATATACATAGGTTTAGTATCACATATACTGAGCAGTATTCTATATGACGACGGTATGTCAGTGATCGATTCGATATATACAACTGGGACACAATGGACATGCCTCAGTGGGGAATGTGTGAGTTTCGTTTCACGCCGCTTTTACCAATATTCCAGTAATACCACGGCGGGGGACACCAGAAATGGGCTTCACATTGTACCCATGTGGGGAATTGAACCCGGGTCTTCGGTGTGACGAGCGAACGCTTTAACCACTAGGATACCCCAGTGCCCCTGCATCGTTTGGATCGTAACTGGTACTCCAGTAGCCTTGATCTCGTTGAGCCTGGTTTCGGATCAATCGATCGTGAAGTCTTGTGAACCTGGGACGTTCTGAAAAGGGTCGATCGTCAAGAGTTTAGTGTTAGTGGTGCAAGTTCACAGACACTGCACAATGCTTTACACAGTCACTTTCATACACTAACAAAACATAAAATCAGGTAAATCACAGGTTAGCAGAATCAGATTGACGTAAATGGTGGTCCACTGAAATAACCGACCTTCCTTGAACCTGTCTGCAACGACTCCATACTCGACGCGTTTATTTGTTGTTTTACTCCGCACTCAGCTGTATGGCGGCTGTCTGTAAATAATCGAGTCTTGACCAGACAATCCAGTGATCAACATCATGAGCACCAATCTATGCAAGTGAGATACGAGTGAGTGAGTGAGTTTAGTTTTACGCCGCACTCAGCAATTTTCATGCTGTATGACGACGGTCTGTAAATAACGAGTCTGGACCAGACAATCCAGTGATCAACATCATGAGTATTAATCTATGCAATTGGGATACGATGACATGTGTCAACCAAGTCAGCGAGCCTGACCAGCCGATCCCGTTAGTCGCCTCTTACGACAAGAATGGGTTGCTGAAGATCAATTCTAACCCGGATCTTCAAACTATAGCATGTGTTTTGTTGTAAAATATAACACATGTAAAGGTTCTTGCATTGGCTTTTGAAATAAACACTTATCTTTGTTCTTATGCTTGGTATTACAAAATGTATTTGTGATTCTGACCAGGCCAAGTCTGAGAAGTATAATTCCCCCGAGAGACACATTTCATAATCACGATTCTCTGAATGGTACAGTATATTATAATGGAAATAATATCTACTAGTAACTCGAAGTGATTTGATGCGAGTGAGTCTGGCTTTACGCCGCCTTTAGCAATATTCCAGCAATATCGCGGTGTACCCATGTGGGGAATCGAACCCGCGTCTCCTGCATAACCCGCGGTCGCTTTAACGACTAGGCTACCACGCCGCCCTGGTGTTATTTTAAAGTATATGGATTGCTTTTCAACAAAGCCAACTTCCTTTCAATTAAAATGAACCCGAAAGCGCAGTATGCTTGTCGCCTCGACCTGTTGCTGTGTATCTTTCAACCCGTCATGAAAAGATGAAGTCAGATATTTGAATAGCCTAAAACCAACCAACCGCCAAAGCCCTTTTGGGATTTCCCGCATGCCGGCTAGATTTGATCCCTATAACATATTCTGTTTTGTGTACAGTGCCAACACGGCTTTCCTAAACCCAACATTCTTTTATCATACGGGTTCCACTACAGGGACGGGTCCTTTTCAGTCATCAACATCACAGCGACACCGGGTGTTTAACAGAGCCCAGCGTTTATACCCGCGAAGATCCGTGTTAGAATTGGTCTTCAGTAATCCATGCTTGTCATAAAAGGCAACTAACGGGATCGGGTGGTCAGGCTCGCTGACTTGGTTGACCACATGTCATCGTATCCCAATTGCGCAGATCGATGCTTATGCTGTTGATCACTGGATTGTCTGGTCCAGACTCGATTACTTACAGAATGCCGCCTTATAGCTGGAATATTGCCGAGTGCGGCGTTAAACAACAAACCAACCAACCAACCCAGCGTTTACTCTGGCGTCAATTAGTGACCGGAACTTCGCCGTACAAGAATCCATGGTGGGGGCTACGTTGGTGCAATTGTTGTCAATGTAGACTGACTGGATTCCACACACTAGGCTATATGTAGGTTGTATTTACTCGCTACAAAGAGTCATTCATCTCAAGACGGCCGACATGGCGCAGGTGACCGCACTCCTCGCTCTGCTGTTGACGGTCTCTTCCTGTAAGTGTTGTCCACGTGAACGTTTTAGTTATAATTACATCTGTCTCTTAATTAGATGAGTGAGGTGACTGTAATATTTTAAGAAGATTTTAACAATAGTGAAAGTCGTAACCATGGATATGGTTTTGACCAAAAAGGGCAATCTCTGCGAGGATCTGCGATTGGAAAACAAACTGCGATATGTGTATCAGCTATCAGATATCTTATCAGCTACAACTGCGAAATCAGATATATTGTATTAAATTGAAAGTATGCACCTATAAGAATCTGTTTAAATAAAAACACCTTGCATGCAACAATGAAATATTTGTGTCAGAATATTCTGTTGTGTTTTTTCAACACTCAGTAAATGAGTACATTGCAAGGTACTAAACGAATAGCACGTTTCGAAGCGAGAGTCTTTGTGGCTTGTAGGTGTGGGTTTCGCTGTTGTAGTACTGGTCAGTGTTGGTTGGTGAAGACCATGACTTGCAATTGGGTATATACCCCTTAAAGACAGATGACATAGCAATATTTGACTCATACCGAGAGACGACAGAGATGGCGCAGGTGCCCGTTCTCATTGCTCTTCTTGTGACAGCGACATCATGTAAGTTTTGGGATGTCTTAATTATTATCACAATGTTTTCTTAATTGGACAAATTAATGTACGTGTTTTACAATAACAGGGCGCTGGTAATAACGACATATCGCTGATTTTTAACTTCTTTCAAGTCGTTACCATCGGTATGGTTTCGACCAACAGAGAATAATTCTACATAATGAGGGATTTGAAACCATTCATTTTGTTTAGAGAATAGATGTTTTGTCAGCTGCAGCTCAAACCAGATATATATTTTATTGAAACTATGAGTTATGATAAGCAATTAAAATGAGTTATACTAAACATTTAAAAACACCTTTCAATTGGTGTGGCAGACAACTTCTTAATATTTTTCAACACTCAGTATGGCAAGGTACTAAACGAATAACACGTTTCGAAGCGATAGTCTTTGCCGCTTATATGTGTGGGTTTCACTGTCGTATACTGGTCAGTGTTGGTTGGTGAAGACCATGACTTGGGTACATGTAGGTCAAACATACCCCTTAAAGACAGATGACATAGCAATATTTGACTCATACCGAGAGACGACAGACATGGCGCAGGTGCCCATTCTCATTGCTCTTCTAGTGACAGCTAATTATTATGACATTTTGTTTTATTAAGATGTAAAATAAGGTGAATTTACGTATTAAAGTCGCAACCATCGGTATGATTTCCACCAACAGAGAATAATTCTGTGATGAGGGATCTGGTATTTGAACTAACTCATTTTGTTGGGATAACAAATATTTTGTCAGCCACAGCTCAAACCACATCTGTTTTACTGAAACTTTGAGTCATAATAAACACTTAAAAAATCTTGTAATTTTGTGGCAGACAGCTTCTTAGTGTATTTCAACGATCCCCGCCCAGAATGTCAAATGCTGGGCGCCTGAAGCTAGTTTGTGTTCAGCGATCGGAGAGAAACCTGTTTTTTTCACGGGAGCCAGTATTTCCTAATGACATGAATAATGCCACATGATGAATCACGTACAGTCAGTCTCTCAACAGGACAATGTTCTGAACAAACACAACACCTTTTGATGCAAGAGTCTTTGCGCTTACAGGCGTTAAGTTCACCTTCGTAGCACTTGTCTGTGGTGGCTGATGATTAACATGAAGTCATAGGTGTATATAGGTCATATTTACCCATTATTGACAGTAACCATCGCTATACCTGAGTCATAGTGAGACGATACCATGGAGCAGGTACCCGTCCTCTTGGCTTTTCTGTTGACGATCTCATATTGTAAGTGTTACGATTTGTAATTTTTACTAACAGCTGTTCCTTATTTAATTGAATCAGCCGAATTGTCATTGTTTACAAATTTGCATTAATAGCACATTGCATCTCATCGGACAGATCGCAGAATTTCAAATTTTGAAGAAAGTTGCAACGGTGTGCTTTTCACCTGCCAAAGGAATTTCTGTAGGAAAATCTGAGATTCGAGTTTATTCTCAAAATACCTTCTTTTCAGCTTTATGGTTTAGAGAACTTTGCTCAAGATAGGAGAAATATTATTCAGGTTTTTGACGATACCTACATTTTTGTAAAAATTGTCAAAACATATTTACCTCGATAGAATACGTTTTTCAAGTAAACATAACAAATTGTGTTAAAAGATCATTTGACAGAAAATAATAAGGTTAAACTTTGAGGAAAATAGTAAATTGTTTTTCTTATAGTATAACTGTATGATTGCAGGACTTGTATTTTTAATTTTTATTTTCGTTTTTGAACATTTCGAACATGACATTGCCGTTATTCTTTAAGTAGTAGTAGTACTACTGACTTGGATTTAGCGTTAAAATTATTCTAATTCACAGTGAGGATAGTGTATAGATATGAGAGCGCCCATACCATGACGAACTCTTTAAGATCCGATGAAACAGAAAAGCCGAATTCATCAATCACAATCAATGCACGCATAGATGAATGAAAACGCCGTGTCATCATTCACAATAAAGCGCTGTATACTTATCCATATACACCCATCTGTCATCAACAGCCAAGAACTTGTAAAACCTGTTCTTCCATCTGGGCACAGTAATATATATATATATATCAAGTTATGCAAAAGACATGAATAGATGGAGACTCTGCCGAATCGTAATTATCATATATTATCAAAACATTGAGCATTAAGAGATACTTCTTTTTCGTGATGTATGACATTTACTTAAAGGAGAGGGACCGTGGAGTAGCCTAGTTAAAGCGTTCGCTCTCATGCCGAAGACCCGTGTTCGATTCCCCACATGGGTACAATGTAGGAAGCCCATTTCTGGTGTATTGCTGGAATATTGCTAAAAGCGGCGTAAAACCATACTCACTCACTCACTCGCTCACTCTTTTTTCGTGATGTATGACATTTTACTTAAAGGAGAGGGACCGTGGAGTAGCCTAGTTAAAGCGTTCGCTCTCATGCCGAAGACCCGTGTTCGATTCCCCACATGGGTACAATGTAGGAAGCCCATTTCTGGTGTATTGCTGGAATATTGCTAAAAGCGGCGTAAAACCATACTCACTCACTCACTCGCTCACTCTTTTTCGTGATGTATGACATTTACTTAAAGGAGAGGGACCGTGGAGTAGCCTAGTTAAAGCGTTCGCTCTCATGCCGAAGACCCGTGTTCGATTCCCCACATGGGTACAATGTAGGAAGCCCATTTCTGGTGTATTGCTGGAATATTGCTAAAAGCGGCGTAAAACCATACTCACTCACTCACTCGCTCACTCTTTTCGTGATGTATGACATTTACTTAAAGGAGAGGGACCGTGGAGTAGCCTAGTTAAAGCGTTCGCTCTCATGCCGAAGACCCGTGTTCGATTCCCCACATGGGTACAATGTAGGAAGCCCATTTCTGGTGTATTGCTGGAATATTGCTAAAAGCGGCGTAAAGCCATACTTACTCACTCACCTAAAGGAGAAATATGGATGTAATGATAATATAACGGAATTTTCTTTTGTAACATTGATTTAACATAAACTCTGTCAAAAAAGAAACGCAACCCTTCCTCAGATATGAAAAAATTCCGTTTGAATGAAGTTTGCTTCCAAACTAAATGTTATTCGTTATTTGATACACGTAATTAATGAAGATTACCATCCAAACAACTGCATTTGTACGCATAAGTGTATTTTATTGCTTATTCCGTCACAACGCATGGCGAAATGACCCTCATGGTGACTTCGCACAAAAAACACATGCAAATCATGAAATGGCAGTTAATGTAGGGGTGTATAAAAGCCCGCCGACGACTCAGGTGGTGCAACAACGTAAGGATATGGACTTTACAAAACTGGAGGCGCATCTGGTTTTCTGATGAATCCTGTTTCTTTTGCAACATCACGACGGAAGAAAACGTGTGTATAGGAGACGTCATGAACGTTTTGCGCCCATCTGCGTCCGACAGGGGACAGATTTGGCGGAGAAAAGCGTTATGGTTTGGGGATCCATCTCATACAACCAGAAATCAGACTTGGTGATCGTTGAAGGGAACCTGACAGCCCAACGTTACATCAACCACGTATTACAGCCTCACCTTCTCCCGATTATTGACCAACAGACACAGATTTTCAACCAGACAACGCCCGGCCTCATACTGCACGTGCAACAATGAACTTTCTGCAGAATTCCAACGTCAATGTCTTGCCATAGCCCCTCTAAATCACCAGACCTCAACCCTATTGAACACCCTGTGGATACTCTGGAGTCGACGCGTACGTCAACGTCAGCCGCCGCCACAGACGCTGCAACAGCTCGGCGTTGCACTGCAGGAGGAGTGGAGAGCCATTCCCCAGGAAAGAATCCGGCGTCTTATCCGTTCTTGTCCAAGGAGATGCCGTGCAGTGATTGCAGCTCGTGTTGCTCATACGAGATACTGAGAAAGACGCCCCCTGGTGACAAACTGGTGTCTGTGAGGATGACTTTTGAAATGACAATTTTATTTTCGCTTTTGAACATTTCGAACATGACATTGCCGTTATTCTTGTAGTAGCGTTAAAATTATTCTAATTCACAGTGAGGATAGTGTATAGATATGAGAGCGCCCATACCATGACAAACTCTTTAAGATCCGATGAAACAAAAACCGAATTCATCAATCACAATCAATGCACGCATAGATGAATGAAAACGCCGTGTCATCATTCACAATAAAGAGCTGTATACTTATCCATATACACCCATCTGTCATCAACAGCCAAGAACTTGTAAAAAACCTGTTCTTCCATCTGGGCACAGTAATATATATATATATATATCAAGTTATGCAAAAGACATGAATAGATGGAGACTCTGCCGAATCGTAATTATCATATATTATCAAAACATTGAGCATTAAGAGATACTTCTTTTCGTGATGTATGACATTTACTTAAAGGAGAGGGACCGTGGAGTAGCCTAGTTAAAGCGTTCGCTCTCATGCCGAAGACCCGTGTTCGATTCCCCACATGGGTACAATGTAGGAAGCCCATTTCTGGTGTATTGCTGGAATATTGCTAAAAGCGGCGTAAAACCATACTCACTCACTCACTCGCTCACTCTTTTCGTGATGTATGACATTTACTTAAAGGAGAGGGACCGTGGGTAGCCTAGTTAAAGCGTTCGCTCTCATGCCGAAGACCCGTGTTCGATTCCCCACATGGGTACAATGTAGGAAGCCCATTTCTGGTGTATTGCTGGAATATTGCTAAAAGCGGCGTAAAACCATACTCACTCACTCACTCGCTCACTCTTTTTCGTGATGTATGACATTTACTTAAAGGAGAGGGCTGGTGTATTGCTGGAATGCTAAATAAAACCATACTCACTCACTCACTCGCTCACTCTTTTTCGTGATGTATGACATTTACTTAAAGGAGAGGGACCGTGGAGTAGCCTAGTTAAAGCGTTCGCTCTCATGCCGAAGACCCGTGTTCGATTCCCCACATGGGTACAATGTAGGAAGCCCATTTCTGGTGTATTGCTGGAATATTGCTAAAAGCGGCGTAAAGCCATACTTACTCACTCACCTAAAGGAGAAATATGAGTGTAATGATAATATAACGGAATTTTCTTTTGTATATTTGACATTGTTATTTAACATATATTTCATTCACTATTTAACCTAATAAAAACATAAATATAAAGCTTGAGTGAACAGTGAATTGTATAGTGCGAAATGTAATTGCAGCCATGTCTATCCAAATAAACCAGTAATCACATGCATATACAGTTTTCTGGAAGTAGATACTACAAGCATTTGCATAAGCATCGGATTGAAGTTATGATGAGTTGGTTTATCGCATCAAACATTTTCCATAAGATGTTCAAGTTCTGATACAGAGAATCTCAATTCATGAGGAAACTCATTTTCACGACGATTCGTTAAGAAAGATGTTGAAGTTATTCTATTTGAAATAAAGGTTCGCTATTTGGGCATTATCCATTGGTCCATCATCGGTCCAATGTTTGTCCCACTTCCTGTAGATTGGCTGCTGGTGGTTCCATGGTCAGTTTATGTATTCCGGGTCAAAATGAAGACCCATATGTTTTGCAAGGGATGGTCGTGAAGACGTTTTCCTGGAGATACTCATTTACCCGTGGTCTCCTGGTGACCTTGTTGGTGGATCAGTGGATGGCTATCGATATGTGGTACAACGATAGAATCCAGGATTTGACGCCAATAAAGCCCCTGACCGTCGACCTAGGCAGTATTCAAGTTATATAACGGCTTGTCTGGTTGGTGGAGTGAGGAAACGCGAAGTGATGCACTTCTCAGACCGCACTTGTAGACAAAACCAAGTGGGATTCGAACCAATCATAGGTTTCTGAATAACACTTATTTGGCCTTTTGTCTGATGCAAAGTTAGCCTCCTTTCAGTTTCATTTTAGACTGACTGAGTATGGTTTTACGCCGATTTTAGCAATATTCCAGACAGGGTAACAACAAGTAGCAAGTTCATTTTTGGTATGACGCTGTGTGATCCACAAGAAGACGCTCAAGAAGATAAGGTGTTATATATATGTTATACGTGACATAGTTCACGTCCAAGTCTTCTCTCTAAAATCAAAGGACTTGACCTGCGATATAGCACACTTTTTGAGATAACTTACGTAGAAATGTGCTGACGTCATGATGACGGTTGACTTACATGAACCTACCCCGTTAAACTGGTTCCCTGCTTCCTTTGCGTGTGATCAACTTACGCCAAAGCTTTATTGCGATATAATAGACGGGCCCAGCTTCCCTCCTAATATTGTCCGTATAAACAATCAATCGGTTAAATAGTTAAATATACTCTTTGAAAATGTAGGCAAACCTGAACTTTCAATTTGGATGGGGTGTATAAGCGTTAACAGACTTTTGAAATACAGACATCTTATGAACGCACCACCATTTCTCTTTATCACCGCCTTAAACACAACACATGGAATGCACAACGCAGTAGTCCGGGGTGTCATTCTTGATTTTGACGGTTTTAAAGAAGGTCGATAAATTACTGTAGACCATTAATGTTGACAATCATCTTGCATCACACAGTTGTTAGTGTTTGTTTCTAGACGGGTTTTTTAATGAAAATCGTACACATGCAAATTTCACGTCATACACCAATCACCTTTCAAGAACGATACTGTACAAACAACTATGGTCATAAGGAAGTGCAAGGGGTGATGCACTCTCAAAACATTCATTATTATCATACCAACATTGATTGACTTCCAATTGTAAATTATAGTTCTCTTACTTTTTTTTAAAGAGTATGGTTGAAGATATTTTCTGAGATAGAAATATGACAAGATGATGTCAACGATCTATCATGCCTGCAGCTTATCCCAGATATATTCAAACCCTGCTGTCCTTACCACAGCAGCCATACTCCCCATCAAAAGTTGAGACTCACTAGTGTAAATGTAGCCATTATGTAGTCAACTGTTCTAATATAAATTTTGCAAAACATTCCATACTGTTTAAAGGTACTGTTTACACATGAACTGATGTATTGTAAAACACATTTGTAACGTTGAAAAGATTATTGTGATGAGTTCAATAAATGATGAAATTCAGTGAAAATTGACGAATTCGTAACAAAACTTTACACCAAAACGCAGCTGTTCACATGCATGATATTTGCACATGCTTCACAGCAATTTGATGCATGATCCTCGTGCAATTCATCTGCATAAGGTTTTCAGTTGGTTCCCCCAAGTTAGTGGAGAAATTCATCTTCGATGTAACCATACACATATACATAACATATAGGGAGTGCTTTAAGTGAGTCTTAACTTTTGATGGGTAGTATACATGCCGTCGTCCCAGGCCGTCGTTGGTTCAAAAGCAGTTATGTCTGTCCCTGAACACCAGAATGACTCAGCATTCCTTACAATGTATAACGTTATTAACTGTATGTACACCTGTTTCACGGCCGAATTCATTCAGCGAAATGCTGCATGGCTGTTGCCTTTCCTTTCCCTATTTTGTTCTGTTTGCCATCTCCCAGTTCTGAGGTCATTCCATTTGGATTTTAAACCTTTCTCCAATAAAACACAAGCTTTGTTCATCATTCGGTAAAGTGAGTGAGTGAGCTAGTTTAGTTTTACGCCGCACTCAGCAATATTCCAGCTATATGGCGGCGGTCTGTAAATAATCGAGTCTGGACCAGATAATCCAGTGATCAACAGCATGTGCATCGATCTGCGCAATTGGGAACCGAAGGCATGTGTCAACCAAGCCAGCGAGCCTGACCACCCGATCCCGTTAGTCGCCTCTTACGACATGCATGGGTTACTGAAGGTCAATTCTAACCCGGACCTTCACGGGTCCATTCGGTAAAGTAGAAAAGCTATTAAAGTGTCACCTACCCGAACGTGTTGCGTAATAAAATATCGTCATGCTCAGAAGCACTATAATTATATTTTTCTGATGTAAGTTTTCCATTCAACACCAGGGAACACAAGGGTGAAGAACGATACACACACGCATATAATTCTATAGGGCAGCTATACCAATTACTTCCAACATGCGCATCTAAATACTGTACCTGCTTCAAAACAAACATGGAATCGGAACAAACATAGTGTGTCCTATGTCATCTTTCAAAACACATTCTTGTTTGTACCTGTTACAAATGTCATGTGAAACTGATCTTCCATGTACTGAAGAATTTCCTTTCATCAGATTCACAGCGTGATTGGTACGATATGTCCGTATGTTTGAAGAACAGCGCCGTGGCAAAACAAATGTGCAGGAGTTCTTAGTCTCTATCATTCAACGTGACTCGGACTTCTTGTGTTTAGTCTGTTAAGAGCTTGGCTAATATTTGCATACTTTCAAGACTACACCCTGGCGGAGTTCAATAGGCAGAAGCGCTTTCTGAGCCTTTTCAAAGTTTCTAAGCGATCTCCGCGGACCGACGGGCGCTATCCAGCAATGGGTCAACGTCCTCCCGCAGAGGGCGCTGTTTTCAAAATGGCGCTGCGTACTGACTTTACTGATATTATTGGATGTAGAGTTTAAGGTAGCAGATTGTGGCCATCACCATACCAGTCACACAAACTAATAGAAGAAGTGCTCATAAAGAAAAAACTTATTATTACCGATTAGACAGCATGAGTAGAATTTATCATAATGTCGTCACATAAGTTGAACTGGACTCCGGTTGATATTTTAATAGTGGGGACAAAAATGTCTTACATAAGTAAGGGTTACGTGCAAAACCATACCGTCTTGTGCTGCACATGGGGTAGAGCCAACTCTCTAACGTTTTATGATGCCGAACGTAAAGTAACGACTTAAATGACTCACCAGAATTGGCGGCATTGCACGAACTGAAATGATTGTAGGCCTTTAGTGCAGACGTTCTGTACAGTGGGCGATGTGCTTTTATGTGTGTGTGTGTGTGCGTGCGTGCGTGCGTGCGTGTGCGTGTACACGTGCATTTATGACGCAATACCTTATATGTTTATATACTAGTAATACCTTACACCCCTTCAGATTTTAAACTGTTACTTTTTTGAGCAAATACTTTCATACCGCGGGAAGAGAGTGGTTATGTTGAAATTATTGTTGCTGCTATTTCGTTCTTTTCCATCCAACGCTCTGCAGATGTCCACGCCCAGACTTCGACGCCATGCAGCGTCCGACGTGATGCGGCGTGTTTGGCGGCCATGAGGTCCCTCTACACCAACACCTCGGCCTATTGGTTTGGGACGATGTTCGCGACGGACTGCCCACCCGGCAGTGGAGGAATCTTGTGTGGAAACTCGAACCCATCAGGAACCTCCCTCCTCACTCGACTCTTGGGAAACAACGCCGCCGACGCCAGCGGTTTATCCTTCGTCGTCAACGTCACGTACCCCATTACTCTTCCAGGTAAGCGACACCGTCACCGGCCGTAACTCTAACGGCGTTATTCCCTTTCACTTCACAGATTCAATAAGAAAATGAAATCGGTTTTGTAGATTTTAATCTCATGTTTTGATAAAAGTAAAGTAACATGTGAATTGTTTATATGTTTGTTGATATATATGGCGACAGCAGTTTCTGCTTGATTCCACGTTATTGGATAACTCTCTCTTGTCGTTGTTGCACATGAACGCTAAGTATTGTGAGGGAGACAGGTTTATTTCTTTGATACTGTTGCAGATGATATTTAAGGCTAAGGTATGGCTATTATGATTCTGTATTTAGTACCCTTCGAACAATATATTATCAACCATACAAAATAGTTTGATTTATTATATTTTCAGCTGATGGATCTGACCGTGAGTATAACCCTCCTCTGCTACTGAGGCAACACACATATTTGGGGCCCACATAGGGTTCCTATGGGCATGGAAATGGGGCCTGATTTGGGTAACCCTTTGAGGCACCACTCGGATTTGTCCACAGGCGGATTCTGAAGCGTACTTGTAAATCCACACAACATTTCTCTTAAGGTGGTTATGTGATGTGCAATGGGCGATGGGTAAGCCAAGTGGTTAAAACGTTTGCTCGTCACCTAGGATCTAGGTTCGATTCCCCACATGAGTACACCTGTGTTACGCCCATGTCAAATTCAACGTTATAGTACTGAGAAATATTTCTCTTCTATGATCTCTTAGGCCTAAGGGAACGGCGGGGTATAGCCTAGTGGTCAAAGCGTTCGCTCGTCACGCCGAAGGCACGGTTCGATACCCCACATAAATACAATGTGTATTTCTGGCGTCCCCCTCCGTGATGTTGCTGGAATATTGCTAAAAGCGGCGTAAAACCGCACTCACTTAGGCCTCAGCGAGGTCCTCTCCCGAAGATAAAACAGATTGATGTGTTTTGCTCGCGGAAAACCTTCCAAACCGTCACAGAGAACCAAGTTCATTTCTTTTGCTTACCATAGTAAGTCAAAAACGGGTCCAGTTAACTAACTGCATTCAACCCTTGCTTTGTGTCATATTATCGTTACATTAATCGAAATGTCATTGTATCCCAAATGCGTAGATCAATGCTCATGCTGTTGATCACTGGATTGTATTTCGAATTTCCGACATAAGCCAATAACATCACGAGTTCCAAAGTAGAATCGCCTCCTTACCTTCTCAAGTTTTTCGTGGTCCGAAGCAAGTCCTCCACTACCTCTCCAACCCAAATTTGCGTAGCAAGGTAAAAAGAGCTTCGGAAAATATTTAATTAACACAGGCATTTTCTAACCAACAGGAATAACACCGGTCTCAATTCATTTCCTGTTTTACATTTTAAACTTTACATACTGGTACAGAGTAAATGGGCACAGTTGACCATTCGGGCCGAAACTAGGTCAAGTCGCATTCCTTGTGTGGTGAAGGGGAATGACTCGCTTTCTCCGTCTTATATTGCGGTAAACACTCTGACAATTGTCATGTGTTTCTGGGTTTATATTGAACGAAAAATCACCAACTTACAAAATATCGAGAGTGTTAAGGACTGGAAGGCAATAAAATGTTATAAATATTTGTCTAAAAATAGAAAATGCACTTACCTCCTATTCAGTTACTCATAAAACACATTATAGTTTCCCTTAAGGCTCACAGATTTTTCAGAAAACTATCGCGAGGAGAGTTATTCAGATGTTATATCAACACCGACACATTTTGATGAAGGGTAAAAATAGCCGTGAAGATCCAGGTTAGAATTGATCTTCAGTAACCCATGCTTGTCCTAAGAGGCGACTAACGGGATCGGGAGGTTAGACTCACTGACTTGGTTGACACATTTCATCGTATCCCAATTGCGATGATTGCTCATGGTGTTGATCACTGGATTGTCTAGTCCAGACACGTTTATTTACAGACAGCCCTCATATAGCAGGAAATGGGCTTCGGACAACATACCCATGTGGGGAATCGAACGTTTTATTCACCATCGATATTAAAAAATATCTACAGACGTTTTAGTAATATCAATAAAATATTTGCTAACTAATTTATCCTGCGACATCTTATAATAATGAATTTCAGACATACAGTTTAGAATGAGTATGGTTCTTCGTCTCTTAAGTCACATTATAGCTCTAAGAACATTTCACCTCCAGTTATATCAATAACTATTTCTTTGCTATCTGGGGCAGTGGGGTAGCCTAGTAGTTATAGCGTCGCTCGACACACCAAAGACCCGGTTTCTAGTCCCCACATGGGTACTTTGTGTGAAACCCATTTCTGGTGTCCCGCGCAATGATATTGCTGGAATATTGCTAAACGCGGCGTAAAACTACACTCACTCACCCTTTTCTCTCTTAGAATTTACCCTGCGATATCTTTAAATAATACATTTCAGTTGTATAATTTGGAGTGAGTGAGGTTCTACGTCATTTTGCGTCACATCATAGCTCTAAGAAGAACACATGGCGTTCCATGTATGTTCTTCAAACCTTCTTGTAAATGACAAATCATGCAGTCATAAGTCCATGCTTCTCTTTCATGAGGGGCGGTGGGGTAGCCCTAGTGATTAAAGCATCGTCACGCCGAAGACCGGGTTCGATTCCCGGCATGTGTACAATGTGTGAAGCCCATTTCTGGTGTGCCCCGCCGTGATAAAGCTGGAATATTGCTAAAAGCGGCGTAAAACAATACTCACTCACTCATTCTTTGATGATCACCAGGAACATACCCCGGGTGTGGGAGGGTAGTGGACGTACCCTATACAAGGTCACAATATTTCTCCATCGACGCCCTGGGCTCTACTGTATATCCCCCTTTCGACGTGCGCGAGCTGCCGGAAGTGACGTGGCCAGCGGAGCAGAACGCCCTCTACACTGTCATGATGTATGACGTTGGCTTCAGCTTCATGCACGCGTTGTACATCAACGTCGTCGGCGGCAGGCTGCAGGGTGGAGATGTAGGTATCATTTATTGCATGGGCGATTACATGACATGCAAAATAAAGTATAAAGTTGAAAAACCTATATAAAACAGTAGTTTCTCGTTACTTCAAACATTCAATTATAAAACACATGCAAATATATCAAAAGTTCGTCATCAAGCGTTCGTTTCAAACGTTGCTTAATACCCCGAAAGGTGAAGCCATCATCACTCTCCTTACATGTCGTCATTTGGGACCGTCTCCGTGGTGTAGTGGTTAGAGCGTCCGCCCGGAGAGCGGGTCATACCAAAAGACGTTTGGTACTTGTTGGTCCCTGCCTGGCGCTCGGCATTAATGGGTACAACAAAGACTGGTCGGCTCGGAGTCAGTGTAATGTGTCTGAGTGGGGTATTCATGCTTCACTGCGGCATGGTATCTTAGTGAGCTAGCACTATAAAACCAGCTTAAGTCTGGGCTTGTACAAGCAACCACACATACATATGCATGCAGCGAAATATTCTAAAGTATAGATACGACGTTATACCCCCATTTCACCTCACCTCGTCATTGTTACATCAAATAATTAGAACTACAAATACATTACACGGCTGGAGGACATACTGTTGTGGGCAAAAACAATACCACTGTTTTGTCACGTGGTATTATTGCTCAATAGTTTTGGGTATCGATCGATAGATTCCTCTAATGAGAACTTAATTACGTATCCTTTGTTCCAGACCATAGTTGCCTATTTTGGGCCTGGAAACCCCCTGGAGCGGGTGAACCCTTACATGTGGGTCGTGTTTCGGCAACAGGGACGTCTGGACGTCTCCACCATCAACAGCTTTTACCGCACACTCCAATCCCAAAACCAAAACATCTTCGCCAGAGACATTGTGGCGCCGCTGGGGCTCTCGAGTGAGTGAGTGAGTGAGTGAGTGAGTGAGTGAGTGAGTGGTGAGTGGTGGGTGGGTGGGAGGGTTTGGTGGGTGAGTGAGTGAGTGACTGAGTGACTGATTGAGTGTGTGAAAATACCCATGAAGATCCGGGTTGGCATTGGTCTTCAGCAAGCCCAAGCTGTCGAAAGAGGCTACAAACGGGGCTATGTCATCGTATCCAATTGGGTAAAACGATGTTCATGCTGTTGACCACTGGATTGTCTGGTCCAGACTCGATTATTTACGAACCGCCGTCAAATAGCTGGAATATTGCTGAGTGCAGCTTTAAACAAAAAACAAACAAAAGTGTGTGAAAAAGTAACGCATCTGTATTGTTTCATCAACAAACCGACGAAATTTAGACGAAGTCTAGACATGTGAATAACCAATACAGCAAATGTGTTGTACATATTCAAACCAAGCAAAAGCGTTTTCAACTGTTTACAACACCGACTAAATGCCACCAGGAATACCCTCAAGTAATAAAATGCATTCAAAAAGATTATTTAACTCTTAAGAAAGTAATCATCTTGACATCCTAAATCACTCTGAATCTGTCAACACGTGTTACAGTTTCATGTCTTTAGTTACACACGTGTAACGATCACGTATTTATTTATTTATTTATTTATTTATTTATTTATTTATTTATTTATTTATTTTTTTAATTTTTTAATTATTTTATATATATATATATATTTATTTATTTATTTGGGACGAGGGGTGGGTGTTGTGGGGACACAAATATTTCTTTGGTTTGGCGTCAGGCATATCAACTGCACCAACCTTGACGTTTTAAAGACTACACATACTGCTTGTTCATGGTTACAGTGCAGTCGTATGGCATCAACGTGGTCATGGTAACAACGGATGAGTACGCCGCTGCCCGCATCCGGTCTCTTGGTTTTCTGAACAGATGTCCATTCTATTATGGGCAGTGTAAGTTGCACAAATATCCATCCTATGATCATTATGGTTTATATTACACAATTATGTAATTTCAAAAAAATACATGATAAGCAAAAGGTAAATAGAATTGATTTCCAACCACTCGTACCATGCTTATCTCCCCTGTGGATATCAGGGTTAGAACTTGTCTTCAGCAGCCCATGCTTATCTCCCTTGTGGATATCAGGGTTAGAACTGATCTTCAGCAGCCCATGCTTATCTCCCCTGTGGATATCAGGGTTAGAACTGATCTTCAGCAGCCCATGCTTATCTCCCTTGTGGATATCAGGGTTAGAACTGATCTTCAGCAGCCCATGCTTATCTCCCTATTGGATTTCAGGGTTAGAACTCGTCTTCAGCAGCCAATGCTTATCTCCCCTGTGGATTCAGGGTTAGAACTTGTCTTCAGCAGCCCATGCTTATCTCCCCTGTGGATATCAGGGTTAGAACTGATCTTCAGCAGCCCATGCTTATCTCCCCTGTGGATATCAGGGTTAGAACTGATCTTCAGCAGCCCATGCTTATCTCCCTTGTGGATATCAGGGTTAGAACTGATCTTCAGCAACCCATGCTTATCTCCCTTGTGGATTTCAGGGTTAGAACTGATCTTCAGCAACCCATGCTTATCTTCTTTGTGGATTTCAGGGTTAGAACTGATCTTCAGCAGCCCATGCTTATCTCCTGTGGATTTCAGGGTTAGAACTGATCTTCAGCCGCCCATGCTTATCTCCCTTGTGGATATCAGGGTTAGAACTTGTCTTCAGCCGCCCATGCTTATCTCCCCTGTGGATATCAGGGTTAGAACTGATCTTCAGCAGCCCATGCTTATCTCCCCTGTGGATATCAGGGTTAGAACTGATCTTCAGCAGCCCATGCTTATCTCCCTTGTGGATATCAGGGTTAGAACTGATCTTCAGCAGCCCATGCTTATCTCCCTTGTGGATATCAGGGTTAGAACTGATCTTCAGCAGCCCATGCTTATCTCCCTTGTGGATATCAGGGTTAGAACTGATCTTCAGCAGCCCATGCTTATCTCCCTTGTGGATATCAGGGTTAGAACTGATCTTCAGCAACCCATGCTTATCTCCCCTTGTGGATATCAGGGTTAGAACTGATCTTCAGCAGCCCATGCTTATCTCCTTTGTGGATTTCAGGGTTAGAACTGATCTTCAGCATGCTTATCTCCTTTGTGGATTTCAGGGTTAGAACTGATCTTCAGCAGCCCATGCTTATCTCCTTTGTGGATTTCAGGGTTAGAACTGATCTTCAGCAACCCATGCTTATCTCCTTTGTGGATTTCAGGGTTAGAACTGATCTTCAGCAGCCCATGCTTATCTCCCTCCTGTGGATATCAGGGTTAGAACTGATCTTCAGCAGCCCATGCTCTATCTTCAGCAACCCATGCTTATCTCCTTTGTGGATTTCAGGGTTAGAACTGATCTTCAGCAACCCATGCTTATCTCCTTTGTGGATTTCAGGGTTAGAACTGATCTTCAGCAACCCATGCTTATCTCCTTTGTGGATTTCAGGGTTAGAACTGGATATCTCCTTTGTGGAGGGTTAGAACTGATCTTCAGCAACCCATGCTTATCTCCTTTGTGGATATCAGGGTTAGAACTGATCTTCAGCAACCCATGCTTATCTCCCTTGTGGATTTCAGGGTTAGAACTGATCTTCAGCAACCCATGCTTATCTCCCCTTGTGGATATCAGGGTTAGAACTGATCTTCAGCAGCCCATGCTTATCTCCCCTGTGGATATCAGGGTTAGAACTGATCTTCAGCAGCCCATGCTTATCTCCCTGTGGATATCAGGGTTAGTGATCTTCAGATGCTTATCTCCCCTGTGGATTTCAGGGTTAGAACTGATCTCCAGCAACCCATGCTTATCTCCGCTGTGGATTTCAGGGTTAGAACTGATCTTCAGCAACCCATGCTTAATTTCAGGGTGTCTCATTGGAATCATTACAGTGGTGGTCAGACTCACTCGTGATTGATACAAGTCTTTGCGAAATGGGTCAATGCTATCAATTGTTGTGTTTGTAATGATTAAGTAACGTTTTCAGCTGGAACATTCTGAAGTAATGTCAAAAATTGGTTTATGTTCCTGAATGATGTTCCAACTTTTATGCCTGTGTATATGTTTTTCTTCATACTTTAGCAATGCAGATTTTATTACAAGGACTGTAACACTTTTGGAAGTGTCTGTAATATTTTCATTTTGGTTATAACTGGCATACGCCTTTGTCCCTGTGGTCCATGTTGCTGCTGTGTTAGTTTGTTAGCGTGAAACGTCGATGTATAAAATATTATATAGCCCATTTATGATCTGCCAAATTCATCACGTGAATAAGATACATTACTCCAGTATCAATATTACACCGGTGACTGGATCTACGTGAACTCAAATGTCATTCCCAACTCCCTGAGGAATATCCACCCTTATGCCTATGAGTCACTAGACGTTTGACAGTCACATAACTATCTCATTCTACCGAGTACCCATTCGCTGCCATATCTCTGTCTAGCAGCAAACTGACGTTTTAATCTCTTACAAGAAGTTGATAACCAGATCTGTAGATTTGTAATGGCAAAATATATTCTTTGCAAAAGTCCTATTCTATCTATATATACCAATTATAATACTGTTTTTTCATGCTTGATTTGCAGTCGACATATCATTTAAAGATAGGCACACATTTCGTGACCAATTCACATAACATTTGTATGATCTAACTATATCAAAATGTATATCATCCAGGGCTGGACAGCTACATCCAGAGAAGAGGAGGTCTCCCGTCACTTCCGGCCCGGTTTGGTCTCAGTGTCTCCATTGATGTCAGCTTCACCGCCCCTGCTATAACGTACACATCGTGCGACATAGTGTACCAGAGAGGGTAAGTCCTCATGTCCCCGCTATACCACACACATTGTGTGACATAGTGTATCAGAGAAAGTATGTCCTCATTTTCCCACTATAACGTACACAGCGTGCGACATAGTGTATCAGAGAAGGTAGGTCCTCATGTCCCCGCTATAACGTACACAGCGTGCGACATAGTGTATCAGAGAAGGTAGGTCCTCATGTCCCCGCTATAACGTACACAGCGTGCGACATAGTGTATCAGAGAAGGTAGGTCCTCATGTCCCCGCTATAACGTACACAGCGTGCGACATAGTGTATCAGAGAAGGTAGGTCCTCATGTCCCCGCTATAACGTACACATCGTGCGACATAGTGTATCAGAGAAGGTAGGTCCTCATGTCCCCGCTATAACGTACACAGCGTGCGACATAGTGTATCAGAGAGAAGGTAGGTCCTCATGTCCCCGCTATAATGCACACATTGTGTGACATAGTGTATCAGAGAAGGTAGGTCCTCATGTCCCCGCTATAACGTACACAGCGTGCGACATAGTGTATCAGTATCAGAGGGTAGGTCCCCATGTCCCCGCTATAACGTACACAGCGTGCGACATAGTGTATCAGAAGGTAGGTCCTCATGTCCCCGCTATAACGTACACAGCGTGCCACATAGTGTATGAGAGAAGGTAGGTCCTCAAGTCTCCGCTATAACGTACACATCGTGCGACATAGTGTATCAGAGAAGGTAGGTCCTCATGTCCCCGCTATAACGTACACAGCGTGCCACATAGTGATAAGAGAGAAGGTAGGTCCTCATGTCCCCGCTATAACGTACACAGCGTGCGACATAGTGTATGAGAGAAGGTAGGTAATCATGTCCCCGCTATAACGTACACAGCGTGCGACATAGTGTATCAGAGAGAAGGTAGGTCCTCATGTCCCCGCTATAACGTACACATCGTGCGACATAGTGTATCAGAGAGGTAGGTCCTCATGTCCCCGCTATAACGTACACAGCGTGCGACATAGTGTATCAGAGAAGGTAGGTCCTCATGTCCCCGCTATAACGTACACATCGTGCGACATAGTGTATCAGAGAGGGTAGGTCCCCATGTGCCCGCTATAACGTACACATCGTGCGACGTATCCAAGAAGGTAGGTCCTCATGTCTCCGCTATAAACGTACACAGCATGCGACATAGTATATGAGAGAAGGTAGGTCATCATGTCCCCGCTATAACGTACACATCGTGTGACATAGTGTATGAGAGAAGGTAGGTCCTCATGTCCCCGGTATAACGTACACATCGTGTGACATAGTGTATCAGAGAAGGTAGGTCCTCATGTCCCCGCTATAACGCACACAGCGTGCGACATAGTGTATCAGAGAAGGTAGGTCCTCATGTCCCCGCTATAACGTACACATCGTGTGACATAGTGTATCAGAGAAGGTAGGCCCTCATGTCCCCGCTATAACGTACACATCGTGCGACATAGTGTATCAGAGAAGGTAGGTCCTCATGTCCCCGCTATAACGTACACATCGTGTGACATAGTGTATCAGAGAAGGTAGGTCCTCATGTCCCCGCTATAACGTACACATCGTGTGACATAGTGTATCAGAGAAGGTAGGCCCTCATGTCCCCGCTATAACGTACACATCGTGCGACACAGTGTATGAGAGAAGGTAAGGTCCTCATGTCCCCGGTATAACGTACACATCGTGCGACATAGTGTATCAGAGAAGGTAGGTCCTCATGTCCCCGCTATAACGGACACATCGTGTGACATAGTGTATGAGAGAAGGTAGGTCCTCATGTCCCGCTATAGCGTACACCGTGCGACATAGGGTGTCAGAGAGGGTAGGTCCTCATGTGCCCGCTATAACGTACACAGCGTGTGACATAGTGTATCAGGGAAGGTAGGGCCTCATGTTCCTGCTATAACGTACACAGCGTGTGACACAGCGTATCAGGTAAGGTAGGTCCTCATGTCCCCGCTATAACGTACACATCGTGCGACATAGTGTATGAGAGAAGGTAGGTCCTCATGTCCCCGCTATAACGTACACAGCGTGCGACATAGTGTATCAGAGAGGGTAGGTCCTCATGTGCCCGCTATAACGTACACAGCGTGTGACATAGTGTATCAGGGGAAGGTAGGTCCTCATGTCCCCGCTATAACGTACACAGCGTGCGACATAGTGTATCAGAGAAGGTAGGTAATCATGTCCCCGCTATAGCGTACTGGCGTGCGACATAGTGTATCAGAGAAGGTAGGTCCTCATGTCCCCGCTATAACGTACACAGCGTGCGACATAGGTTATGAGAGAGAAGGTAGGGTCATCATGTCCCCGCTATAACGTTACACAGCCTGCGACATAGTGTATCAGAGAAGGTAAGTAATCATGTTCCTGCTATGTCACTTATCTTTCGATAGGGCATGACAAAAATGGCACCATAAGCCCCTATCATATATTTGTTATGGTTTCTCACAACCCACCGAAACCAGCAAGGGATCAGGAGCAGCCTGGTCATAAAAGCAATAGAAATAAATAAAAACAAACCCATGTTTTCACTAATTGAATAATTTATTTCATGATTTTGTTATTTAATTACTTTGTACTGGTCTTAATTAATTAGAAAGATTCGCTTTACTTTAAAACAATTTTTCAAGAATGGTAGATAAAGAAAAAAAATCAAGCTGATGTGGGTTTGGGTACAAGTACTGTTTATCACACCAGGAATCTGGGATCTCATACCCCGCTTGTCGCAAGAGGCGACTGACGGAATCAGGTGGTCAGACTTGCAGAATTGGTTGATGGATGTCTTCGTATCCCAAATGAAAGCAGGGTGCTCATGATGTCAATCAGGATTGTCTGGTAACATGATCGTCCCAAATTGCGTAGATCTGGATTGATCTGGTCTGGTCCAGACTCGATTATTTACAGACCGCCGTAATATAGCTGGAATATTGCTAAGTGCGGCGTTAATCAATATAAAACCAATAACATTTATTTATCTATTTATCCCTATATTTCTGGAATGTTTGTCCTATCAACATATAAGTCCTGCCTGGTAAAATGACGAACTTATCCTGCCTTGGTAAAGAAGACGAATTTCTCTTTTCCAGCCCTGTAAACCTCACAGTAGATTATCAGAACAGGGAACTATTAGGCGCTGTGGAGGCCCGGCTCACCCCTCAAGTCAGTCTGGTTCCATTGGTGATCCTGGGTCAACCCCATCAGTCACACTTAGAGGTGAGGTAACCCTCACCCATTCGGGGAACAATCTTTCAAAGGTATTAATTTGGACAAATGAAGTTCACCAGCTCGTTAATGTCACAGAAACAATCTCATGGTTTATACTTCCATGTTAAAGAAAGTATACACTTAAAACTTGGATTTCACCAAACAATTAAAAACGTTATTAAAACATTTACCAGGTTGAACACTTAACGAAACACTTCAAGCAACACACAATTTGACATACGTATAAAACACCTCCATGAAAAACAATTTCTTGGGTTATTGATTTCATACCCATCCAAACGTTGGTGTATACTTTCTTTTTTCTCTTCAGTATATCTGTGTGATCGCTTAAATGATCAGGCATAAATAACGGATTTCATTGGCATGGAGTTAGATATAAGGTTTGAGTAGGTTCATTTCAGAAGAAAAGATGAACCGTAAGTCTGAGTGAAGTGAGTGAATAAGTTATAGTGAGTTAAAAAACTAACGCTGCATCAGCCTTACTTAGTCTGCAGGTGTACAGGAACGATACACATTACATGAGACGGACGGGACTGTACATCTGTACCTTACAGTACAACCAATCTGATAAATAAAAATATATCAAAACTGATTGCCGGAGGTCTCTAATCAGTGAGTGAATGAGTGAGTGAGTATGGTTTACGGCGCTTTTAGCAATATTCCAGGAATATCACGGCGGGGACACCAGAAATGGGCATCACACATTGTACCCATGTGGGGCATCAGACCCGGTCTTTTTAGCTTACGCTTTAACCACTGGGCTACCCACCGCCCTCTCTATATCAAATGTGTAGGATGGTTATATGGTTTTACTCGAGAGTAGTAATGTAGGCTGCAGAAGCAGATTTCGAATTTTACCCCGACCTCTTTGACGACCTTGTGTGCCACCATCTCGTCTCACCAACCAATAGAAGGTGTTAGATATAGTCGCCTACTCCTCTACATATATGATCATACTGTTTCCATGTGGATCAGATGACGAGTCATTCTGAATCCCGCTATCCTCTACTTTTGCATAGTAGTATACATTCTGTTTCCAGACAAGCTTTACACACTAATGATGTACGACCCCACCCCAGAGATCGGACAAACTGACCAGAACTCCTACGTCCACTGGATGGTCGTCAACATCCGGGGCACTGACATCACTTCCGGTGACGTGGTATATGACTGGCTACTTCCCATGACAACAAGATTGAATCAGCTCTACCTGTTTGTCTTGCTTGAGCAGACGGCACCTGTCAGTCCAACAACAGCTCTATCCTTCGGGGCAACAGACTGCAATTCATATATCATAAGGAGGTACCCAATATCCCATACATATCAGACTCGTGAAGATCCGGGTTAGAATTTGTCTTCAGCAACCCATGCTTGTCATAAGAGGCGACTAACGGGATCGTGTGGTCAGACTCGCTAACTTGGTTCACACATGCCATCGTATCCGAACTGCGTAGATCGTTGCTCATGATATTGATCACTGGAGTGACTGGTCCAGACTCGATTTACAGACCGCCGCATATAGCTGGAATATTGCTGAATGCGGCGTTAAACAACAAACCAACCAACCATATACATTTCACGTTCTTTCTGGCCGCCTCTGGGAACTTGTTCAAAAGCGAGTCTGTCCAGGGAGCGGAAGATCGGCGGTTGGTGGTCGTGGCAACGATTTCGTCGCACTAAAAATATACTTGATGAACTTCTTTCGCCTGGCATTTACTGGGTAAAACGATTAGTTGTCTAGTAGTCAGTATACTGTTTAACTGCCGGGCATATCTTAACACGTACATGCGCGTCACTATGAACGCAGGGGCGGTTGGGTAGCCTAGTGGTTAAAGCGTTCGCTCGTCACGCCGAAGATCCGGGTTTGATTCTCCACATTGGTACTATGTGTGAAGCTCATTTCTGGAATATTGCAAAAAGGGGCGTAAAACTAAAGCTCACTCACCATATGAAGTAAAGTTAAACCCCATTGTTCCAAATAATACTGGAAAATATTTTCGCCTCGGGTATACCCCAAACATTACCGTTCACTTTTCCCGAAAATGTGCCCTGGTTTTCCCAAAGTCATTTCAGCGTATATATGTACTGAAATTTCCGTTACCTTTAACAATAATTTTACAACCTGTATTTCTTGCAGATGCAAGTTCCGGGCTGGAGACTTCATCCGCTACAATAATCTCTCCCTCGTCGGCATGAGACACCTGAGGGTGATCCCCGACACCTACCAACAGTATATGTCGTACTCGGTTGCCAACTTCCAAACCAAGGGTCAAGCCTGTTGGGGAGAGGCTCCTGACACTCCGCAATGTCCAATCAGGTCAGGAAGCACGCAGACTAAACCAGTTGGCATCATGTCAGTTCTGGCAGTATTGGCAACCTACTTGACCATCAGGAACTAGCAGGTGCCCGTGACGATCCACCCACTTACTAAACAATGGTGCATGGTAGTTATGCTTGAATATTATGTAATGGCATCCATTTCTTGACGGTGTTTAAAACACACTTCCTGTCATGGTTTATGTAATCCCTTCAGCCTAATGTACATTTACCTTCTGATTATCATTTGATTATCCTCCACACTTCCACAATCATTTTTGTGACCCCTTTAGCTTAATGTACATTTACCTTCTGATTATCATTTGATTATCCTCCTCTCTTCCACAATCATTTTGTGACTCCTTAAGCTTAATGTACATTTAACTCCTGATTATCATTTGATTATCCTCCACACTTCCACAATCTTTTTGTGACCCCTTAAGCTCAATGTACATTTACCTCCTGATTATCATTTGATTATCCTCCAGGCCTGATTGGTCGTACATTGTCCCGTTGATCCTGATAATCCGGTATAGCGGCTGTAATGTACTTTTCACATTAAATATTTTTCATATGCCATTTTACCATGTTTTCTTTGTGGAGTGAGTTTGGTTTACGCCGCTTTTAGCAATATTGCAGCAACATCACGGCGGGGACACCAGAAATGGGCTTCACACATTGTACCCATCTGGAGAATCGAACCCGTGTCTTCAGCGTGAACGCTTTAACCACTGGGCTACCCCACCACCCTGTATTTGTGGATAAGCATAAGTAAGCTAAACCTTAACGTCATGTGGGCAGTTGACGTTGAAGAAAGTATATATCACAGATGTTCTGATTGTTGAAGTTGGACACGGTCTCTGTGACCTTATATTAGAGCAAACCTGGCGCTCTCGATTCTCTCTGTGGTTCTCACATACACCTAACTCAGTCCTTTCACCCTCTGAAGGTCCGGGTAAGAATCGGTGTTCCACAACCCATGCTTGTCGTAAAAGGCGACTAGTGAGTGAGTGAGTTGAGCTTAACGCCGCACTCAGCAATATTTCAGCTATATGGCGGCGGTCTGTAAATAATCGAGTCTGGACCGATAGTCCAGGGAGCAACAGCATGAGCATCGATCTGCGCAATTGGAATACGATGACATCTGTCAACCCAGTCAGCGAGCCTGATCATCCGATCCCGTAGTCGCCTCTTACGACAAGCATGGGTTACTGAAGATCAATTCTAACCCGGATCTTCACGGGTTAAAAGGCAACTAAAGGGATCGAGTGGTCAGGCTCGCTGACTTGGCAGATGCAAGTCGTCATATCCCAATGGCGTAGATATACCCTCATGATGTCAGACACTGGGTTGTCTGGTCTAGATTCGATTACTAGTATGTACAGAACGTCGTTACATCGCCGAAAGATTGTCCGAAATTTTGTCTTGCCTGAAAACGGTTAAGTTCGCCACTTTTATCGTACACGAAAAGTACTGCCGGAAGAAATTATTTCTTTGTTAGCTTTATGAAAACTTCCCGCATACCAAATACTTGCCCACACGACATATCTATATATGAAATGTATTTGTAAGGTAGCATGTAGTGTCGCGAATCCAATAGGAGGAGTGTTCTGTATTTGCTAAAGAGGGTCCGGCATGCTTGTTTAACAGTAAATGTACACAGAGGCTAAGTTGTTATGTAAACAGTTACAATTGTAATGTGCGCAATTATATTGCGCAAATGGACTTTGCGTCGAAGTATGGAGTTGAGCCTGGTGTTAGTGTGTTAAGTGCTGGAATATATTAGGCGAATTCTCTGGTGACTACTTCTCTTTTATTGACTCCATGTCTACTTGAATTGTTAAGATTGTGTGCTGTGTCGACAGAAAAGTTGGAAATGAAGGACAAGAGAGGATGCTTAAATGGGTATTGCCCTAGTTTCTGGATATACCTTTCACTTTTGTCGTTGACCAAACAACCCGTACGTGTCACGTTTTAAACAGCTGGGCAAAAGAGCTTTGCACTTAAAATCTCGATTTGAACCTCAAATTACAAATATTATGAAAACTTGACTGAAAACCAACCGTTGAAACACTTCAATATAAGGCTGAAAACATGACTCATACCCGTTTACCATCGACTAACAATTTGTTGTTTGTGTCTTTTATCCACCATCAAACACCGCGACAGGTGAGTAGTAGTTTATTTCGGTAAATCAGGCCACAGGCCCATTTTACAATTATAGTTTGACAAAGATGTTGATGTCGCGCCACCAGTGCGAGTAGCAATGTTTAAGTTCTGCAAGTAATATCTAGTACAATATACATGTTACTATAAAATATACTCCTCACAAAAAGTTAAGCAACAAGTATTTTTTTCCACATATTTTCTTCATGGGTATATGAAGTTATTACTTGGCATATAAGCCATGCAGGAGAACCCTTTACGATTGATGAACTTAAAGCATTTCCCATATTGTTTTTCTGATAACATTGTTAGCACCGCCTGAACGCAACCACCCTCAAAACTCACATGCAAAATGCATGGAAAACATGTGCTATACACGTCGCACATGCGTTCTGATTGCGTTAAAACTGCCAGCAACGACAAATTGTTGACAGTAACATTTGAGAAATGGCTAGGCGTCTTGACACCAATTGAAGTTGCTCAAATTGTTGGAATGGTGCAGGGGGGTCAGACCCAGAGTGCTGTTGCCAACCATTTCAATGTTCATCGAAGCGTCATCTCCAGAGCGATCACTCGTCACCAACAGACCGGATTGATGACTGAGAGACCACGCTCAGGTCGTCCAAGGGTGACAACTCCCAGAGAGGACCGATACTTGGCCACCTAGCCCGGCGGAACAGGTTCACCACAGCCAGATCTCTCCAGAATGACCTCCAGAGTTGCTGGGAACAGAATCTCCACACACAGACAGTGAGGAACAGACTCCGCATGCTGAAGGTCTCAGGTCCCGAAGACCAGTGCAACGTATCCCACTGCCTGCACACCATCGTCAACAGAGACTGAATTGGGCTAACCAACGACGTAACTGGAGAGTCAATCGCTGGCGTAATGTTCTCTTCACAGATGAGTCAAGATTCTGTCTGGACTTCAATGATGGTAGGGCTCGTGTGTGGAGAAACCGTAACGAACGATACGCCAACTGTACGATTGCTGAACATGATCAGTATGGAGGTGGGAGTTTGATGATCTGGGCAGGAATCCAAGTTGGACGACGAACTGATCTTGTGGTCATCAGACGAGGTACCATGACAGGTGTGAGGTACCGAGACGAAATTGTCACACCTGTGATCATTCCGTGGGCTCAGCAAGCAGGTCCTAACTTCATCTTCATGGATGACAATGCCCGTCCACATCGAGCAAGAGTTGTCACTGATGTTCTTCAGACCAACAACATCACCCATATGGACTGGCCTGCAAGGTCTCCTGACCTGAATCCTATTGAACATGCTTGGGACATCCTCGGAAGGCGTGTGTACGGCCTCCACGTTCGTCCTCAGACTCTGGATCAGCTTGAACAGGCATTGCGGAGAGGAGAATGGCAGAACATTCCACAACAGACTCTAGACAGACTCATCTGGTCAATGCCTAGACGTCTTGAAGCGTGTATTCAGATCAATGGTGGCCATACACGTTATTAAACTTTGGATCAGTAACTCAAAACTGACAGTAAAAGTGTTTTCAGACATTTTCATACCCTGATGCAACACATTTTGCACGGCTTTTTCAGTGACACTGTTTTTGATGATTTGCAAGTCAGTTATTGTTCAATGAATTTTGATTTCTTTGTTGGAAAAGTGTGTGGATATGCTTTATCTTTGTTATGTTTGATTCAGTTGTAATGATCATGAGTAAAGGCATATGTACTGACCAAAAATACACTTGTTGCTTAATTTTTGTGAGGAGTATATGTAGGTTATGTAATGGACAATCGCTTGCTCCTCATTTTCAGAGCAAAGAAAGTAAACTTGGCGAGGTTATTAAGCATGGAAGTATTTTTGGTGGTAAATAAAAGTTTACATTTACACTCTGAAGGGAATTTGTAGTAATAACATGGCAAGAAATTTCTTCTACGGTCATTATAGAATGGACACACTAGACAGACATGGTATTCTGTTTCTACATTTGGGATGATACAGAATGGACAGTCTTTCACGTTTAGATATGCCTAATTTTCTACCCTGTGATATCATAAGATCACTACTGGATGTACGAAATAGTGAAAGAGTAATCCTAAATGCATCAATATTCACAGCATTTAAATAGTTTTCATATTCATTGGATAACTTGATTGTTTTGTAAAAATACAAGGAAGATAACTTGTCAAACGATTCAAAGAGAAACTGATAATCGATATCAATACACCGTGTTCAAAAAGTTGATAGAAATAGTTGAACGCAAGAAACAGATTGCCGGTTCCAAATTTCACAAAATCCATATGAACATAAAAGGTTTTTAACTTTAAGTGCCCAACAATCCAGACCCTTTTCAGCTCGGTTATACTGATATACATAACTATAATGTAATATACTGTTTTCACTCTGGGATAATAAACGTAACCAATACTTAATTATTTTCAAATGTTGGTTTTACCTTTAATGAGTACCTCCCCAGTTCAGCTCTCGCAACTATATTAGGGACAGGTCTTCTTAACTTTAATATGAGTTTACAGAATTTGTCATGAACATTCAAAATATCTTTACAGGGATGGAATCCGCATATTTCTGAACCATATAATAGTATGGGCAGCACTTTAACATCAGAGATATGAAGTAACATTTTCAAGGGAAGTTTATGAAAATTATACACATTTGATTGTAACAAAAGTATTACTTTCCAAGCCTGTTGAGACAATATCTTTTGAGACTTATACCATGAACCAGAGCTAGAAAGATGTACTCCAAGGTATTTATAACTGGGAACAATATCAAGCGGGCTGCCATTAAGAGAAAACTTTTCGTACTTTTAAGCCTACCCGCCTTACGAAACACAATAACTTTACTCTTGGATGAATTTACCTTCAGTTGCCACTTATTACAGTAAACCGTCAGTTTATCTAGTCTTTTTGTAGACCAATAACAGTGCTATCGAATAAGATTATATCATCAGCAAATATAAGTATGAAGAGATCAAGTAAGTCTAGATTAACACAATATTGCTTATCTATACTCAGAAACTCTGCTATATCATTTTACAAAGAATGAAAACAAGAAAGGTGATAATTGGCACCCTGACGTACACCAAAGAGGCAATCAAAAGGGACTACAACCATTGTTTACCAACACACATGATTTCACATTTTCATACATATTCTTGATAAGTCTAAACATTTTCCCCTTTACATTACCAGTCCACAGTTTGTAAAATAGGGATGGTCTATGCACAGAGTCGAAAGCTGCTTTCAGATCTATGAAAGCGCAATAAAGTCTACCTTTGTAGAGTGATAAGTACTTATTAATGAAGGTGTCAATTACAAAACATTATCAACCGTTTGAAAGCCTTTCCTAAAACCTGCTTGTTCAGGAATAATGATATTCTGATTATCAGTCCATTTCGAGAGTCTGTTACATAGGA